ACATTAGCTTACGTAAATAAATATCATTATTTTAAATTTAAAAGTTGACTAAAATATTTAACGAAAACTAGTTTAATTATTACCAATAATTTAATTTTATATTTAGTCACAAAAAATGATTTTATAAAAAATAATTAAGTACGGATTAATATGACAAGAAACATAAAAGATTTTTGCAGGAGAAATCTTTGACGCTGACATTGAATTCGCGACAACTTTAGTGACAGGCATCGCAACTTGCACGACCACGCAATTAATAAGTGGTCCTCATCTGACAGCCGTTCAATCCCAAATCGTACGGCTGATAGACGTCCATGCATCAACCACATAAACTGGGTCCCTCCGCGCGTACTTTCTGTCTCGCACGTGTTTCGACCGCGGGGAAGCGCGCGTGTGCCGATTGAAAATAACAAGTCAGACTACAAGTCAAACACTTCACTCGGGCCCCCCACGAAGAGGCGTGGTCCAAAATCAAAACTAAATCCGAATCATGGAAGAAACATCTAATCTTCAACACTAAATCAAGGTACGTACCGTGAGTTGCGCTATCGCGACGGGGCAGTCACTCAGGAATTTGACTGCTAGTGTCATTGCCATTGGCACAGTCTCCTCTCCGGGAATCATCATCTCTATGATGCTATCAGTGATGAAATCCAACGGCAGGGATTGCTTCTCGTTTCCTTCACCGTTTTCGCGCAACAGCAAGTCTAATACATCCTCGACCCGACCTTTTTCTTGTGATTTCTCCATTGCCAACTTTCTCTCCTCAACAATCCTTCTCACCATCTTCAGCAATCTTTCTTTAGCCTGCATGAACTCTTAAAAGTCAATATATATATATATATATATATATACATCCCGTGCCAAACCCTAACAACCCCTTGCATTATCTATATACATATCTACCTTTAAAGATTTATATAGTCTTGTTCCTGGGAACTTGATAGGCAAACAAATCAACCCTTTAATGAATTCTCCAAATTCTCTCATGAGAAAGTCTAAATCTTCACCGGGTCCGATGCTCATCAATACTTTAACCAAGATTTTAAACGTAATCTGATGAGATACCCATGACGCAATATTAGTTTACAAATACAGGAACATTATATGCATGGGTTTATGTAAATGTATTTCATCAGTTGACCTTTCTGGTTTCCTGTTGTACGTAAACCAAAGACATGTCCCGCCAAGAATCCAAAGCGAGCTTGACAGAGTCTTCAATAGCGTCAGTGATCTGGGATTTGAGCTGAGGAGATCTCAAGAATCCACCGATGAGTGCATGGAGTTTCTTCTGAAGATTTCCATTCATTTGCAATATGGAATATTTTCCAAGCAGCTCTGTAATGGATTTTGGGTAAGCTGGTATAAAAGTGCTGCCGTGGTTTTGTAAAATCACCTTGTTCACATCGGGATCTGTGGAAACTATTATTGGGGTTCCCAATATATGCGTCTTGAACACTTTTCCAAACCTGTATACGCCAAAAAAAACTGATAAAATTTTCCATGAAAATAGCAACATATCAAAATTTATGAAATCCTCAAATTTTAAATTACAGAAATGAAATAAAAACTTGAAAAGAAGAAAAGAAAGAAAGAAAGAAAAGAGAGGTTTTGCATTTATTAGTACTTGTGGTCTTTTTAACAGTTTTCATGAATGGAAGAAAGGAAAAGTAGATTGTCGAGAATAGAAAATATGAAATGGTAATTTCACAGGAAAGCTGAAATCTAAGAAGACTAGGCTGTGGTTACTGTCTGTGTAAGAAATAGTAGGAGTTTCAGTCCCTAGAAGGTCTACTTTCTGCAGGCTGTAAGTATAGGTCATTTACTCTAATATATACTGGCTTTTCCAATTCCTTAATTTCTTTCATACTTGTTTTTGTATAGTCACCATCTTGCTTTGGATTATGAGCAAGGTTTTTGTCACAAATGGATGTAACGAATTAAAGAAAATTCCAAAATAACCTAAAGAGTTAACTTTCTCAAATTTACATTTTGATTTAGCGTTTGTAATTCAAGATTATAATAAGTGTTTAGATCAATAATGTAATATTTTCATTGTAAAGTTATAATATCTTTGAGTGTTCAAATTTTATCACCAGTACCGTATAAAATACTCTTATTAGGTTGATATATTTTTCATGGAATGTACAAAAAATTTAATTGTAATATACAAAAAACTAACCTAAAAAATACTCTAATGGCTAATAAAAAATTTAATTACAGTTATAAATTATTTTTTTGGACTTTTTAAGTATTTAATGTAAATCACAATTACAATCACCTACAAATTTAATCTATACTTAAAAATTTAATTTTTATCTAATACACAATAAATACTCTCTTAACTATTCGGGTTACTAATAATAATATTCTCTAAACTATTCGGGTTTAGTCGAGTGATTAGCTATACAAAAATGATTCCGAGTTTGAGTCTCGTCTAAATGCAAAAAAGTTTATAAACCAAAAAATGAATTTTCTTATCAAGAGGGTTCTTCTTTAAAGAATCCTTGCATATAATATGATATGAGATAAATGGCCATTTGCAAATTTATGGGCATATATATCTATGATTAGTTAGGGTAAGGTAAATATAGAAGGAGAAATTATTAGTTTGTACATGATCTTTAGAATTAATTATGGGGGTTAATATATTGATATATAGATAGTATAAAATCAATGAAATCCTTTACATGATTTAATCTTAATTAACATTTATTCAGAATCTTTAATTAATGAAAATAATTAACTTCTGTTAATTATTATTTGGGTAAATCAAATTTTTACTTCTTTTAAGTATTTTTTTTATCCATAAACCCACCCATACAATATAATTAATAATAATAATAATAGAAAATTTTGAAATATTATTTTTAATAACTAAATAAACTATTTGTTTTATATTTTTTATAATTTTACAAATATATATATATAAATCTTTTATCCTTTTTTTTTATATAATAAAACTATGCAAAAATATATAAATTCAGAAAATAAATTTTAGAAATTACTTTTCATGTAGCAATCAAAACCATAAATTTTTTCTGTTGAATGTCAATGATCTCTTTGTCATTTTATATGACATGTACAATTATTAATTAATCCTAATTAATTAATTAATTAAAGGTACTGATAATTCAATTCAATTCAATTAATTAATTCAAAGCTCACCACTTAGTTAGGAGCCAAATTATACAATTAAATATGACAAAATATATAGTAAAGTTTATCCTACTTACAGACTAACTAAATCCCAGTATCATCATATATGTATATGCCATGATCAAACAAAAAAAATTACAGTAAAACTAAAGGACATCAATGTTCATAAAATTTAGGGTTTTCTCCAATCTAGTTTAGAATTAATCTTGATTACGACTTATGGTATTTATATATATATACATAAAATACATATGTCTCTCTGCATACAAAAGGGTGTTGTTTGGGGGGTGTCCTAATTATGTTGAAGAAATGATTACCCGCCCGTGACAGGAAAACATTCAAGAGGCAGGAAATTAATCTATACTTACATACATACATATACATATATATATATATATCAATACACATGAATATGGTTATAAATGTAGAAGAATTAGAATAAGATGTTACCGAGATTTGCGTTTGTCCATGAAGGAGACAGGCTGAGAAGTATAACCAGAAGCAATGAAGTCGAGAGTTTCTCCGACGAAAGGCCAACCAAGGTTCCCTTCTGGAAGTACTCCACTAACACCACTCTTCATTTCCGTCGTCGTGTTCCTCCTCCTCCCATGGCGACGATCTCTGTCGAACCAGATAAACCATACCCCAACAAAAAGCAGAAAAATCCAACACGCAGAAATCCAGAACTTCATTGCTGCACTTGTTCTATCCTCTCTCTCTCTCTCTCTCTCTCTCTGTGTGGGTATCAAACCCTACCTTTTATCTTCAACGGAGAAGGGGGCATGAAGATCTCGATTGAGATTGTGAGGATCTGGGCCTTGCTATCTATCCTAACATATATGTATATATATATATAATCATTAAAATAAGCCGGCCATATCGGGTTCATCAATTGCTCCACGTTTCCTTTTTTTGTCTTCACTTCTATGTAAGATTAGCTTTTCTTACCCATACATCTCCTTGCCCGTTTCTTTTCTTATATACACATATATATATATATATATATTTATTCATTAGTAAATTTATAAAAAAAATAATAAATATATCTTACTTAAAAGTGCATACATAAATAAAAAATAAAAGGAAATTACGATATTCGATTAGGGTTATGTTTCAATTTTAATGTTACATTATAAAATAAAGGCTCAATATAAAAATATTTTCATATCAATTTTTTTATACCTCATTTTTTTAACAATCTTAAATTATTATACACCAATTTATCTGGTGATTTGATTTCATTGTAATTTAATTTATATGTATGTATATATATTTTGTGATATAACTCTTAATTAAATTTTTGTAATGTTATCAAATTTACATTTTTAAAGTTTTTATTTACTTATGTATAATATCAGAATACCTTCGTTTTTGTACTCAAAAGCTCGAATGTGTATTTATATATACCTATATATCTACATTATCTAAAAATCTAATAATGTTAGGTTAAAATAACAAGTAAATAACAAAAAAAAAAAAAACAGCCTGCAAGAATGAAATTACAATAAAGTTAAGAGTACGAGATTAATAGTTAAATTGTATTTTAAGCATAATATATATTTAATAAAAAAATTTGTTGAATGATGAATTGATTTGATATATGTATGTAAGTAAAAATAAATAATAAATTTTATGTAGGGCAGTTTGATAGAAAAGAAAGGCGTGCAGAGAGGGGCATGTGATAGAAGCCCAGTGGGCCGCCAAAACACCTGTCAGCCTCCTTTTGCCAACAAAACCACCTCATCGTCTTGTCTTCGTCACTCTCTCTCCTCTGCTTCCCTCACCGTCTTTTGAGGTAACTCACTGCTCTCCCCTCACTTCTTCCCACTCCCTTACTAATCAGTAACTAATACTACTCATTATAATCATCTCTCTGTGCATCATCAAATAGATGCTTGCCATTTTGCTTCTGCTTTTCTCTGCATGTGAACTGTGTTGCCTCTGCAATACATCAATATTTTCTTTTGATCATTTCCACTTTAAAACCACTGTATACATATATGTGTGATTGTGTGTGTGTGTGTGTGTATATACACACTACCCATGATGGTTCAGTGGATTCCAAGGATCATGACTACACACTGCTTGCAGGGTATATATAAATTTGTTTGAAAGGAAATGGAAGGTGCTCTTAGGTTTTAACTTTCAAAAATGTAAATTCCAATGAGAAATAATAAAACGGGAAGGAGACATTATAAATTCAATATAGAAAAAATATACCACAAAAAGTATTTCTACACATGAAGTGAATTGTGGACTACAAGAACTCTACCATTGCAAGAAATGTAATAATGCCTGCACCTTTGGAGACAACTTCAGAGCTCAATGGTACAGTATTTCTCACGGCCAGGCAGGATCAACTTTCATGAAAATTTACAATGAAATTAAGTTAGATGACATGAATAAGAGGCTTCATTCACCAGCAACAACGTTAATCTGATCTGCTGAACTAAGTAATAATTTATCTAAGTTTGAAAAAAGATAAAAGACTTCAATTTCTACTTGCACAAGCAATAGCTTCTTCCTCCACATTGCTATAAAATGAACTTAGTTTTGTTATGGCAAGTGCCTCTCCGAAGAGTGAAGCTCGTGTGGATTTTAGTATCTGGACTTCCACGTAATCACCCACTACAGGATTCCGTTTATTGTTAACATTGTCATTGCGATCTAGCAGTGGAAGATTGACAAATGAAACTCTATGTCCTCGATCACTCTTGCCAATTAGCTCTGTCTGCGGAGCTCTCTTGTTGGGTCCTTCAACCAATACGAGCTGGATGGTTCCTACCTGGGAGTCAAAACACTGACCAGTACTCTCGCGAAAAGCCTCAATGAGTTCTGCCAACCGCCTCTGCTTGACATCATCAGGAACATCATCAACATAGTTTCTATGAGCATGTGTTTTCTCTCTCATGCTGTAAGCAAACATGTATGCCATATCGTAACCAACTGACTTAATGAGGCTTAGAGTGTCTTCATGTTCCTCTTCAGTTTCTCCACAGAAACCTGCAATGAAAAATCTTAAATAATAAGGTACCCTGGCAATCATTGTTCAACATGGATAAGCTCTCTTAACAAACGGAGAAAAGGGTCAAACTCAAGCCAGACATGTTAAAAATCAGTTCTTGAACATGTGATAAGCATCATTTGGCAAAATCTTCCCCCCCATAAAGTATAACTTGTCAAGTTCTTTAAACATCTTACCGCATATAAAATCACTGCTTATGCCCACATCCGGAATAATGCGGCGTATCTTCTGAATAAGATCTAGGTATGCCTCCCTAGTATATCCTCTACGCATTCTTTCAAGTACAGTGCTACTACCAGTTTGAGCAGGCAAATGGATATATTTGCAGATATTGTGTCTGTCTCGCATTAAATATAGCAACTCATCTGGGAAATCTTTAGGGTGAGGGGATGTGTATCTGAATCTCATTTCAGGAAACTCTGTGGAAAGTCTATCCAAGAGATCAGAAAAACGTAAACCCATGTTTTTCACCTTGCACGTGCTGGAAAAGCCATCACTTAATCTCCAATTAGCTCCAGGCTCAATATCTTTTTCAGTTCCAGATGCATCATTATAACTGTTTACATTTTGGCCAAGAAGAGTTACCTCCTTCACACCTTCTTTCCACAACTCCCCAACCTCCTTCACTATTGATTCAACAGGACGTGACCGCTCTCTTCCTCTTGTAAACGGAACAATACAGAACGAACACATATTATTGCAACCCCTCATCACTGAGACAAAAGCAGTAACAGAATTTTTGGAGATTCGAACCGGACTAATATCAGCATAAGTCTCTTCAAATGAAAGAAGTGTATTGATTCCTTTCTGACCATAATCTACCTCTTCCAGCAATCGAGGCAAGTCCCTGTAAGCATCCGGGCCACATACTACATCAACCATCTTATCTGCATCCAGTATCCTCTCCTTCAATCTCTCAGCCATGCATCCCAGCACAACTACTTTTGGAGGGCGAAGGGATTGTGACC